GTGCTCCGCCCTGATGGAGGCAAGATTCAGTTCCGCCCAGGACCCCAGCAATTTGGCCTCCTGCATGAGAGGCCTGGACCTTGTCCCCCCTTGTCTGTTGACGTGGGCCTTGGCTGTAATGTTGTCGGTTAAAATCAGGACATGTTGGCCCTGTACTATATTGGTGAATCCCTTTAGGGCCATATGTATGGCTCTGAGTTCCAGCCAGTTTATATTGTTCTTTAGGGCCTGTTTGGACCACCGACCTTGAGCCCAGTGCGTGTGGAGGTGTACCCCCCACCCAAACAGGCTTGCATCTGTGGTAATGGTAATCCTGTCTGGTTCTAATACTGCTCCCCGTGACAGCGCCGGGGAGTCCCACCATTTAAGGGAGTTCAAGTCTCTGAAATGGAAGGAGAAGCCATGTAATTCTCTGGCATGGAGGCGTGCCCATGGCACAATTTGCACGCAGGACACCGTCTTCCCCAGTAGCTGTGATAGGGAGGCCAATGTGACTACTGTGGCCCTTTGGATCCGACATACAAGAGTCTGAATAAGAGTTCCTTCGGTCCTGAAATAGGTAGACCGTACAATTGTCCGTGTCTATAACAGCGCCCAAATGGAGGAGCCGGGTTGTTGTATGACTTTTCTGGAAATTAACAGAAAACCCGTGCTCCTGAAAGACCTTGATGGCTAGGGCGAGGTCTGACTGAGCATTTCGGAATGATGATGACTGAATTAATATGTCATCTAAATAGCATTGAATTCTGATTGGAATTTATCTAAGGTGGGCTGCGAGCACTGCCAGTACCTTGTAAATACCTTCGGTGTCGATGAGAGGCCAAATGGTAGGGCTCTGTACTGGTAGTGGGCATAGCTGAATCTGAGGAATTTGCAGTGGTTAGGAAACATGTCTCAGTTAGGTCTATTGAGGTAAGAAAGTCACCTTGCCTGATGCTGGCCAGGACTGATTAAAGTGGTTGCATCTTAAACTTCTTATACCTCAAGTAAGGTTTAGACCTTTCAAGTCTAAGATTGCCCTCCAGCCCCCCAAGTCTTAGGGATGATGAAGAGGTTTGAGTAAAACCTTCGTCCTTCTTGGTCTTGTGTACTGGTTCAATTGCTCATATTTGTAATAAATGAGCTATGGCCTCTGACATAAAGTCAGCCCTGGACCTGCTCATTGGGATAGGGCAAGAGCAGAATTTGTCAGGTGGTTGAGAACAAAATTCTAGTCTCAAACCTTGCATGACAGTGTCTAACACCCATGCATCTGTAGTGATGGCTGTCCAAGTGCTGGAATAAGGGGCCAACTGGCTTCCTATGGGAAGTGAGACTGTGAGATCACTTGCCTCGTTTAGAGGAATGGCCCCTCGGCCTTGAAGGGGCCGCTTGGCCTGGATCTGTGGTCTGCTTCTGCATGCTGAATGATCCTGCTGTCGTTCTTGTCTCTGAAAGGAATAGAGGGATGCCTGGGCCCAGTCCCAGGATGGAGCTGGTTGAAAGGCAGCCTCCTGTAACTGCTCTGTGACATGAGTTAACCAGAGTTTTACGTTTGTCCTTACCTTCACTTAAGTATGGTTCTAGTGCCTTACCAAAGAGATGTCCACCTGTGTAAGGTTTAGAGGCCAGACACCACTTGGTCTTGGTGTCTGCTCGCCAATTCCTAGGCCAAAGGAGCCTTCGTGCTGAGATGTCTGCAGCAATGGTCTGGCAGTGTATCTAGCCATGTGCAGAGAAGCGTCGGCTAGGTACTGGGATGTAGCCACTAACTTACCCAGATTTTGGTGAGCTCTGAGCTGGTCCGGAGGGATTGTGTCCTGGAGCTCACGTAACCCAAGGGCTGAAGCCCTGGCGAAGAAGGCCATGGACGTTGCCGCCTTTGTTGCCCAGGCTGATGCCAGATGGGAACTACGCAATGCGGAGTCAATCTTTTTATCCTCCGCCCTAAGTGCCTCATTTATGTCCCCAGGGATGTTAGCATTGGGAAACAATGAGTTCAAGGCTCATCAATCTCAGGAATCTCCAATAGGGAGGCCAGAGAACGGGCAACATTGAATAATGTTCCCTCTACTGCACCGGGGCTTAAGAAGGATCCTAAGTTCTCCCATTGTTCTTGAACTATATTCAGAAAAAGGGGAGGGCAGGGAATATTGTTCTGCGAGACTGAGGGCTCGGTGTATATGGCGTGGGGACCCTTGGACGTTGTAGGTGGGGTCTCCTGTTCTTGGGGGAGGTTTGCAGTAGTGCAGGCCCTGAGTAGCAGGGAATTAAAGAATGAATGGTCAAAGAGACCGACAGGAGGGGTTGGGTCAGAGGGAGTGATGCCCTCGTCCTCAAACAAAATCAGGCCAGATTGTTCAGCCCCTGTAGATTCCAAATCCGATGAGGGATCCTCCATCAAATCTGGAGATTGTGGATGATACGTGGCCTGGGGGGGTGGCTGTGGGGTGTTGGAGGCCATAAACTGAGCCACAGCCTGGGCTATCATGGACTGAAGGAGGTCCGGGTTCAAGGCCTGGTTCTCAGGAGGGCAAAGCCCTGCTGCAGTGGGGGTGAACGTGGCCTGGGTCCTGGGGTGTCCTGGTTGGTTATGCCCCTCCCTGGGTCCCTCTTGTGGTTAAATCTAATTAGGGAATTCCCCTGGGGGGAGACCAGGCCCCTGGGGCTGAGGCACAATGTGAGGAAAGGGGTTCAAAAATGGACCTTCCCATCGTGCCTGTCAGATCTGGGGAGGCCGCTCTCAGTCTTTGGGACTCCTCCTCCCTCTGTGGCTCCCTGCTTGGCCGGGCTCGCTTGGTGGTGTTCTTTCCACTTGCCTCTGTTTGGCGTTTCCTCTTGGCCGGCTCGCTGATTTTCTCTGCCATGATGAGTTGCTCTGGGCTCAACCTTGGCAAAATGCCCCCCCTCGGCGCTGTAACTCACCAAGGGAGCCTGCAGAGATGATTCAGCCCATGAGGGGGGGGCAGGGAATTAATGGGCACTGCGTCCCTTGGGAGCGAACAGGCCCTCCCCGGTTCAATGCTGTAGTCTCGAAGCCTCTGCCACCGGTGATGAACACTGCCTTCAGGAGAAACTCCAGGCAGTCTGGGCCTCAGTCACACACAAAATGGCCACCGTGAGTCAATTCAAAATGGCGGCCGCAGAGTTCGTGCCCAAAAAACGGCAGTTAGAAGAAGGCCTTGAGGCCTGTGGCCTAAGCTGCAATGAGCCCTCGTTCCGAGGAATCGCTTGGGCTCCTAACGCAGCAAATGGATTCCCAAAAAAAAAGGCCATTAGAAGAAGAAGGCCTTGAGGCCTGTGGCCTAAGCTGCAATGAGCCCTCGTTCCGAGGAATCGCTTGGGCTCCTAACGCAGCAAATGGATTCCCAAAAAAAAAGGCCATTAGAAGAAGAAGGCCTTGAGGCCTGTGGCCTAAGCTGCAATGAGCCCTCGTTCCGAGGAATCGCTTGGGCTCCTAACGCAGCGAATGGATTACAATTAGGTGAGCTGAGAGAGGCTGAGGCAGGCTGAGGCCTAGTAAGGCCTCCAGGCTCTGAAAATTGGATCGGTGCCAAAAACTTTCTCCTGCTGCTGGGGCAGTCTGCTGAGGCCGAGGGACCTAGAAAAGGCTCTCTCCAGGCCTGATGAGCCTCGTCGTCCCTTGCGGAGCCCCCCAGTCAATTGGCAAGCTTACCTCTGCCTCTAAGGCCTCCAGGCTCTGGTTAGAAGAATGGAGCCTCTGATGCAGAGGAACGGCCCCTGGTAGGAGATTTCTCTTGCTTCTGGGAATCCAATTTTCAAGCTGATTGTGAAGCTGAAAGGCTCTCAAAGGGAGAAAGGGAAAGTTCCCCCCCCCCAAAGGGAGGTTTTGTCAGCCTGTCAGCCTGCTAGGCTACAGGTTGGGATGAAATAAAATAGGAATACACAGTCTTCTGCTCCAGGAGCGAAGAAAAAATGCGTCTTAGAGCAAAGAGACTAAGTCTAAAACTGGGTGCAGTTGGTACAGAGGGGGCGGTACTAAATTTCAGACTTAGTCTAATTGGAGCAGATAGATTAAGACAACCCATCCGTGGGTTCTCCATCCAATCATGCTGGAGAATAGAACTGGAAGGGACCTTGGAGATCTTCTGGTCCAGCCCTCTGCTCAAGCAGGAGAACCTATACCATTTCAGACAAGTGACTGTCCAGTCTCTTCTTAAAAATCTCCAGTGATGGAACGCCCATGATTTCTGGAGGCAAGTTGTTTCACTGGTTAATTGTCCTTACTGTTAGGAAGTTTCTCCTTAATTCCAGGTTGCTTCTCTCTTTGATCAGTTTCCAACCATTGTTTCTTGTCTTGCCCTTTGGTGCTTTGAAGAATAGTTTGATGGCCTCTTCTTTATGGCAGCCCCTCAAATACTGGAATACTGCTATCATGTCGCCCCTATTTCTTCTTTTCTTTAGACTAGCCAAACCCAAGTCCTGCAGCCGTTCTTCATATGTTTTAGTCTCCAGGCCTTTGATCATTTTAGTTGCTCTTCTCTGAACTTTTTCCAAGGTCTCAACATATTTTTTATAATATGGTGACAAAAATTAGTGGCATTATTCCAGGTGTGGTCTTACTAGGGTTTTATAAAGTGGTACTAATACTTTGTGTGATCTTGATTCTATGCCTCTGTTTATACAACCCACAATTGTATTAGCTTTTTTGACTCCTGCTACACACTGTTGTCAAGTGATCATCCACTAGGACTCCAAGGTCTCTCTCACAGTTGTTGTTTTTGAACCAGGTCTCACCAAATCTGTTAGTAAACCCATCATTTTACAAATGAAGGGAGGGATAGAAAACACTTTGGTTTTGATTTTCAATCAACACCCTGTATGCATAATGAAGTTTCTCAGGCTTAAATTTATGTTATAAGACTGATGTATGTTTTTTGCATTAAAAATGATTTCTATCCTTTCTTCACAAATAGGTAACTTGATTCAACACCAATTGAATCTAGATAGATAAAAAGTTTGGTATATTGAAAAGATAACTTTATTTTTCTTTTTTCCAGATATGGATGTCTGCATGAAATGTCCAGAAAATGAATGTCCCAATAATATCCAAAATAAATGTATTCCCAAAGTGTTTACCTATCTCTCTTACAATGAACCTTTGGGAATCCTCTTTGTTACATTGGTTATTTTTTTTTCTTTCATTATACTCTTCGTGCTTGGAATATTTTGGAGGCATCGAGAGACTCCAATTGTCAAAGCCAATAACTGGAGTCTTACTTGTATCCTCCTCCTTTCCCTTCTTCTCTGCTTCCTCTGCTCCTTCCTCTTCATGGGAAGACCTGAAAAGATGACCTGCCTTCTTCGACAAACAACTTTTGGCATTATCTTCTCAGTGGCCCTTTCATCTGTATTGGCAAAAACCATGACTGTCATTCTGGCATTTATGGCAACCAAACCAGGCTCTGGAATGAGGAAATGGGTAGGGAAAGGACTGGCCAATTCTATTGTCCTTTTGGGTTCCTTCATCCAGGTGGGAATTTGCACTGTTTGGCTGAATACCTCTCCCCCTTTCCCAGATACAGACCTTCACTCATTGAAGGGAGAAATCATAATGCAATGCAATGAGGGCTCAGTGATCATGTTTTACTGTGTTTTGGGTTACATGGGCTTCCTGGCTAGTGTCAGCTTTAATATTGCTTTCCAAGCCAGGAAGCTGCCCAGCAGTTTTAACGAGGCCAAGTTCATCACTTTCAGCATGTTGGTCTTTTGCAGCGTCTGGCTTTCATTTGTTCCTGCCTATCTGAGCACCAAAGGAAAATACATGGTAGCTGTAGAGATCTTTTCTATCTTATCCTCCAGTGGTGGTTTACTGGGATGTATATTTTCCCCCAAATGCTATATCATTGTACTGAGACCTGAAATGAACAATAAGGGATATTTAATAAGAAAACAAAAGTAACTGTCCTTTTGAATTCATATTTAATGAAATATCTTTATATCATTCAAGAAGTTATTTATTTTGTTTTTGTGTTAAAATATTTTTTCTATATTAATTTATCTTAATGGAATTTGGAAAATCTCTGTGACCTTAATTTTATTTTATTCATACTGAAAACTCAACAGGGAGAAAAGAAGTTCTTAATAGGAGAATTTTCAAGATCAAATGGTGGAAGTGTCTCATCCAGTTTAACAGGAATGATTATATGAATGTAAATTTTGATGAACATTATCAAATGTGTCCATATATTACTCAATCCTTTAATACTTACAATGTATAAGTATGGAATTTTACTAGGTTATATGTGGTCCCATTGGATATTAAAGGAAAAGTTCATTTTGGGTTTGTTCAAGTTTTATATGTTTTTCATTATGGTTCAGTAATGGAATAGTTTATGTAACCAGGTACCTAATTAAACTTTGGTTTAATGGGAGTATGTAATATGGAAATATTAAAATAAAGTCTTTCCTACAAAATGTAAAGATGAATAAGAGAGAAGAATGGATTTGATCTTTAGAACACAACATTGTTTTTAAATTTTAATAGCAGATATTAGAAATTTTGTTTTGAGTTAAAGTATTCACATGTTGCTTTAACAGTATGGAGAAATATGTTGGTTCTATTGTGAACAGCCTGAGGCATAAAATATTAAAATTATCAGATCTTCTGGCTGAAATGCTGTGATCTTTTATACAGTACCCATGTTAAAAATAATCTGGAATTTAAGTATTGTAATCAGGAAGCAACAACTGGAATTTCAGTAGCAGAAGATTATTTTAGTCCAACTATTAGGTTCAGCAAAATCATAAGCTGTTGTGTGATTTGTGTATTATTGCAGTTTTTATTGCTGAAACAATAACACATTTTCTCAATCATGATGAAGATGTAATGAACAGAGCAGACTTTTTCATATTTAATGTCAATAGTTTTAGAAAATGTTGTCTTACATGTTTGTTATTGGAAAAGATGAGATGCAGTGGCTCAGTGGCATAATAACACCGAAGATGATCTCAGCTCTGATAGTTAAAGCCCTAACCCTGCGTAGCAGGGTAAGTTCCTGTTACTCACCTAGCAGTTTGAAAGCATATTCTGTGAAAGTAGATAGATAGGAACCACTTTGGTGGGGCGAAAAACTTGCGTTCTTTGCAAGCACTCAGATTCTATTTGCAAGGCAGTTCCAGGAAGGGTGGGGGCCTTGGATAATGCTGCAGGAAGAGCTCCTTGTCTTTCTCTCTGTGTGAAACCAGGTCATCTCCTGTGGTGCACCTTGTGCTATAGCAGGGCTGGTTACCTTGGCAAGCCAAAGTAGTACTTTACACTTGTCTTGTGGTCTTCTGGCTACTGTAAAAATACCATATGCTAACAACAACAAACAACAAAAAACAAGAACAAAAAACAAACAACAACAATAATAATAGATATACGGAAACTGAGAACTTATTAGACCTAAATATTCTGACTTTCCCAAAAAATACCTTACTCAGAACTGCCAATATACTCAGACAAAGAGTAACTGAGCATCTAGAACAGCACAAAAACAACAGAATAAAATTTCTTGCATTGAAACGTATTCCAAAGAAACAGCTAGCACAAGCATCAAAAGATACAAAAACTGCAATATCAAGTATAAGCACCAATTCACTGCAAGAAACAAACCAACTAATATACAGCACATCTGCAGTTATAACTGAATACCTGGGATGCAAAATCAATAAAAAACAAACAAACAAACAATGCATCACAGAAATGGAAGTTTAGACTGGAAAATAAGATCAGCAAGGTAAGATCAGATGCAAGCAAGCTAGATGAAAGAAAAGAAGCTGAAGAACAAGAAGACCAAAGAATACCTAATAAAAAAATACCATTTAAAAACAAGAAAGATCAAGGAAGCACTGGAAATAATAAAGTAGCAAATAACAGCTATAGCCAGGAAAATCAGCAGATACGAAACTCGAATTGCAAATTACAGGCAGAACCTCCAATTTCAATCCAATCAGAAATGTTTCTACCAATCCATCAATGGAGAAATTGCAATGAATCAGTCAGTACCTGAAAAGGAAGAAACAGTGCAGTTCTTGTTGCAGATATGGGATAACCTAAAGAAATACAACAAGGACACAGCTTGGTTAAAAGAGGTGGATGCAATGGTAGGATTCAGCTGGTACGCACCGGTTTGATAGAACTGATAACTAAATTTTGCTGCATTTGGAGAACCAGATGGCTTCCAGAAGTCCAGTCTAGGCCTCAGAGACCTGAAATGCATGGATGCCACTTCCGGAAGTCCATTGTAGGCTCAGAGGCCCAGGCCTTCATTGAATAAGAGAACCAGTTGTTCAGATATTTGAATTCCACTACTGGGTGAATGCAAATAAAACAGAAGTTCAAATGAAAGAAATAGTAATAACTGCAGAAATGGTAGAGAAAAGAGCAAGGAAGATTATAACCAGTTGATGATGCATGGTTTTTGGTTGAAACATCCAACTCAGGAGTGTCAAACATGATCGTGTCATGTGATGTATTTTGCTGTATCATGACATTTTTGTCTTTGCAAAATTGGAGTAGGTGTGGCCTGCACATGACACATATGGCCTGCAGGCCTCCAATTTGACACTTCTGATCTAACTGGTCTATATCCACTCATTGCTAAGAATTTAACAACATATTACAAAGAGGTGAAATTGAAGAGTGGCTAACATCTGGGAAAACCTACCTGATAATGAAAGATACAGCAAAAGGGGCAGCACCTGCAGGCCAATTACTAGCTTACCAAGAACTTTCAAATTGCTGACTTGTATGGTAGATGAAGCAATCCAATAGCAACTTGTTGAAAATAATCTCTTTCCACCTGAGCAGAAAGGAAATTGTCCCCATAGTAGAGGAACAAAAGATCAACTCCTAATTGACAAAATGATTTTGGAAAACTGCAAGAGAAGGAAGACTAATCTGAATATAGTATGGATTGATTACAAAAAGGCATTCGATTCTGCCACATGACTGGGTAATCAAATGCCTAGAAATAACAGGAGTCAGTAGAAATATCAGAAGCTTTGTGCAAAGATTGATGGCACAATGGGAGACATAGTTGCAAGTCAATGGTGAGAGACTGGGAGAGGTTAATATTAAGAGAGGAATATTTCAATGAGATTCACTATCACCACTACTATTTGTTATTGCACTGTTTCCTCTGTCAACAGTACTGAATAACTCAGAATATGGCTATCAAACATCAAAAACATCTGCCAGACTATCACACCTCCTTTACATGGATGATCTGAAGCTGTATGGAAAAACATCATCTGAAATAGAATTGCTGCTCAACACTGTCCGTATATATAGCCAAGATATTGCAGTGGAGTTTGGATTGGACAAATGTGCCACACTCACTATCAAACAAGGAAAAATAGTGAAAACTGAAGGAATCAACATGCCCCATAAAAATAATATTATGAGTCTGGATGAATATGATTATTACAAATACCTGGGTATCCTTCAAGCTGACGACATTAAACTTACTGAAGTCAAGAAAAAGAGTAGACGTGAATACATCAAGAAAGTGAAGATGATCTTAAAGACCAAACTCAATGGAGAAAATACCACCAAGGCAATCAACATCGGCAATTCCAGTCATTCGATACCCAGTTAGAATAGTGGACTGGACTCAGAGTTCACCCTGGATGTCATGGCAACATGGATGAAAGAAATTGGAATTCCTGTTTCCTAGTCCAATTTCACTTCGTCTGGAAACCCAGAAAGGTCAGAAAGTTGCCCTGGAGAGGCAATGAGGAGGAAGGGAAATCTTGGGAATTTGGAGCCAATGGCGGTTGCCCCAAACAGACCAAGGAAACTCTTTAAACAGGTGAGAGAAAGGCTGCCAGCAAATATGCAGATAGTCAAAACCATAGAAAGCCAGGGAAGAAGTGAAGAGCTGCGACAGCATCACCAAACAGCTGACTGTCAACAACGTGTGAGATCTGGGAGAGATTTCTCTTCCCTATGGACTTTTAAAATATAAATCCCTGAACTGGATAATTTTAAAAAATAAAAACCCCAGGAAGATGTGGGAAGAAGCGAGTTAAAAATGGCGAGAAATCTGAAATGGAGGAACAAAATTAAAGAATATAAAAAACACGCAGAAAAGATTTGAGAACGATGTTAAAGAAACAATGATAATATAGGCAAAGAACTTTGGATATAATATAGAATTAGAAGACTGGCAAAAGTTATGGGAAAGAAATGTTAAATTAACTAAAGCAGTGGCACATAAAGAAAATTTATATAAAATGTTTTACAGATGGTATATGACACCAGTAAGATTAGCAAAAATGTTTAAAAATACTTCAAACAAGTGTTGAAAATGCAAACAAAGACCAGGTACTTACTATCGTATCTGGTGGACATGCCCAAAAGCAAAACAAAATTGGGTAAAAATAGATTTATGGTTGGAGAAAATGACTAAAAACAAATAGATTTTAAGCCAGAATTATTTTTGTTAGGAATAATAGGAACAAATTATGAGAAAGATTGTATTTATTTTAATTTTACATGTACTAACTGCAGCAACAATTGTATTTGCCCAACATTGGAAAAATGAAAATTTTCCAACTGAAGAAGTATTAATTAAGAACATTTTAGAGTGTGCAGAAATGGACAGATTGACTTAAAGATAAAAGAAAAAGAAGGCTCAATGTATTTTAGAACATTGGATAATTTCAATCAATGGTTAGAAATATGAGTAGAGAGAAAGGAATGTGATATGTAACTATGAATATATATTAGTAAGAAGACTACTTATTGATTAATTAACATATAGCTTATGATAATTAACTATTATCTATTATTTCTTGTTAAACACATGAACCCAGATATTATGCTGTTTGCTAACCCAATAATTACTAATAAAATTTATACAAAAAAAGATTTGAGACTGATTGAAAAAAATGATATATTTTTTAAGCTAACTT